TGCTGCTCTTATATTATATTCCATTACCTTTGTGTATCTGCTAAATACTTTTCCTCATTGAAGTTTTATAGTCAAAGCGTGCAGTGCACAAAGCTACTTCCTTGTATCTGCTTTGAATTCACTACTTTTCTTCAACGGAGCATATTCTTGCTTTAATTTTAAATACTCATGTCTGTAGCACACAGTGTAGAACAACAGTGCTGCAAACATCCTTACACCTCGGCTCATCGCAACAACATAATAGGACCCACATAAAATAGCTTCAATTCAAGGTCTGGATATATAAAGGGAAATATATGCAATAGAACAGCAAAGACTGAAAACACACTGTGCACATGAACTCCCTGGTGCACGTGAGTTCCATTTTAGACATGTTTTGTGTAACTGCAGTGGCATCAATGGAGTTCCTGGAGTCCCTTGTGGATGTAGCAGTCTTTGGCCTGTCTGGCCACTGGATGTCATCATTGTTCTGCTGGGACAGAGCCATAGGACCATCCTCTCAAATACAGGTACTGACTTTCTAGTTAATTTCAGTGTTTTACCGCATTATGTTCCAACCTAAGCAAGAATATATTATGCTGCTAAAGGCAGGGATGATTCAGTCCCCTCAAACGACACTGAACTTTTCACTTTGAAAACAAGTCTTGTTTTGCTCAAGAATTCTCAGTACATCCTCCACTGCTGGGGAATGCCAGTATCAAGCAGTCGCATTTGCACATGAGGGAAAAGTGTAGTGGCTAGGGAGTACTTTCCTCTCCATATCAGGGCTCAGTGTGACAGTATGCTGACAGAGTTTGCACAGTCTGTTGGGTTGCTTGCGCTCACAGGCTTGGAAGGATTAAAGGAAAAGGGACCCCAAGCAAAAAGATGGCAGAAAGACATCCCTATGGACCTGTATGACTTCTGCTGTAGCCAATGCCAATGTTTTCTTTTTTTTTTTTTTACACACCCTGAAAACTTAAAGCATCAGTGAGAATGATAGTGAGCCAGTGAAGGTCCCTGACTACAGACCAAATCATTCTGTACGATCTGGAGATGTTTACATGAAAGCAATGAAAGATAGGGACAATTAACTATCCATTACAAATCAATGAAAAAAACACCACTATCATGAATGCTCTCCAGAATGCTAAAGAATTCCAGTGACCCGTCCCAGCAGCCTACAATACATTGTGGTGACTTGTAATCATCTAGCTCGCACACACCCTGTCCTGGCTGCAGACAGAACTGCTTTTGTTGCTCTCCTGAGAGACTCTTCCCTTTGCAGGCAGTGTGTAGCTCCATGACTCAACACATCGCTGTCAATCAGCCTCAGGACTAGATGGGCCATTGGCAGCTGGCCTGTGACACAGGCACTGACTAGTTTATCTGGTGGTGTCTTGCTGAAATGGTCTCTTAGACCACCGTGTAACTCTCAGTACAGTAACTGCAGATTTCACTCAAGTCACCCACTCACGTTAATTCATGAAACATGACTGTTAAAGTGAAAATTGCAGGAAAAAAGACCACCCCAGGCCTCATGTTTCATGTATTTCTGCTCTCTCAAAATGCAGTTGTTAAGTTGCAAATAACCCCCTTTCCCTCCTTCCCAGCTTCAAGAGCTCCAAACTGTCATTATTTCCAGAAACGTTACTGCCAAAAGCACTCTACAAACTGGCAGTACAAGACAGAGCAATTATTAACAGATAGCTCCATTCAACCTTGCCAACAACATAAAAGAGTCTTACCCTGAGCTGTCTGAGTCTGGACAAAGGTTTTGATGAGAGTGTCTGTGGTTTGAGTGTAGAGAGAGAGAGCATATCGAAGTGACTGCAGGTCCGGACTCTTATCCAAGAAGGTTTTCTTCAGACCATTCCCACCAGCATGGAAATATTGCTAAAGGTAAAAAGAAACAAGAAAAATACTGAGAAAGAATTGCAACAGCAATGAACATTTAGGAGCTATTGTGTGTGTGGATGGGAAGAGCTGTAAAAATTCACAAAACAGCTTCTGTACTAGAAATCCAGCTCTGAGGCTAACCAACTGCTCATGGCTTTCCTCTCCCAAAGCGTTTAAATATAAAATATGCTGGCTCCCAGCACATGCCACTCACCTGAGCCTATTCAGGTTTACACAAACACAGCAGTATCACTCACTTAGTGCTTTTTAGGTCACTGTAACAGCAGTGATAGACTCCTGCCATCTCCTGAACTTGGACAGGCACTACCCTCCCAAGCAGTACGTGGGGATGGAGCATGGGAACTACACAGAAATTCAATCACTTACTTTGATCGTGTCCAGTGCCAGATCCAAAACGGCACACTGCTTTGGAGTGAGGCTCCTAGTTTCTTCTTTCACCATATGATCCTGTGAACAGCCATTACATTTGACGTGAGTGTGCTGTCAGAGACTAAAGGAAGAGGGGTCCCCAGTACCATCACTTTCTCAGGATTCATGCTATGGCTGTGTGGCCACAGCACTAATTCATCTGTTTAAGGAATGCTTAATGAAGTAATTTATTACATATTAACTTGAAAATAAACCCATTTTCTGTTTCTTACAGGCACAGAAAAGAGAAATAAGGAAAGGAACTGGACAGAGAAAAATGACAATTTAAAATCACAGTTTGTCTCAAAAAACCTCTGCTCTACCCCTGTGATTCTAATACAGCCAGAGCAAACCTCTCTAAACACCCAAATCGAAGAATTCTAAGAACCAGACACTGGGCAAAGTTATTATATGTTATTTGTGGACTTTAATTCTTCCATCTACAAAGGTCACTAATTCATCATATCATTAGTGTACAGTAAGGAAATCAAGTAGCATGTTCTAGAAAACATGTTCTCTGCCAAGAGAAAAAGTTGTTCCCTTTAAGATGCACCATCTTTGACAGCAAAGAACAAGGAATCCCTTGGAAAGAGATTCTCTTTCCTGCAGTGGGAGCATGCCCCTGTTAGAATCCTGCCTGACTACGTGGATGTGCCATCCTTCAGTATTTCACTAAGCTTCTTCTCTCTGATGCTTACTCTAGGTCTCAGGGGAAAACTGTGTATTTTGGGAAGTCAAAGGTTTGCACAAACTCAAATTCAAAGAGTTTGAGCTGCTGGAGGGTCAAGCCAGCTGACTACTGCCTGGGTGCCGAAGCATTCATGAGAAGGATGCAGGCAAATCGAGCAAAGAATACTTATCCCTGTTGTAAACATGTCATAGCCTCTGATAAGAGACTTTCCAGGAGACATCTCCTAAATTGTCTTTGAGTGAAGCATGCCCAGTGTGTGGCATCGCTACGATGTGTGCGTTTCACGCTGACAAACCTGAGTGGCTGTTGTGCAGCCTGCTGGTTGTCACACTGCCTGGTGCTGTTCCCGTTCATTATCCACCACGATCCATCCCCTGCCTGATGGAGACGGGGCTCACTGCAGTCTAGGCACAGTGCTAGGATTTGCCACACTCCTCAGACATCTCTCTAGCACCTTTGCACAGGGCTGCATTAAACTGCACAGAAGATGTCTCTCCAGGCAGCAGCACCTAGGACAAGTTGGCACCATGCATTCTTGAGTACTACAGACAGGCCTCCACTTGCCTCTTTCCCCCACACAGGATGTGCCTGGTCTGGGGACCTGTGTGCAGTGGCACAGTACTCTGTAAGCTGCAACATATCTTCTGTTTCACAAGATGTCCTTAGGGGAGCAACAGCTCTCCTCCCTCTTCTTCATGAGCTCGGAGTAATTCAATTGAAGATGATGTGGCTTCACACTTCAGTACACAGAGAGTAGAACATTCTTTTCTCTGTCTGACAGTCAGATTAAGTGCACAATCACCAGAGCCCAAAGCCATGTTCATGGGAGAGGCCGATTTAGTCTGGGTAGCTGCGACCCCAAGGCAGAGTGACTTTCATGTTTGTTGAAATTACTTTCTAGGTCTGCCTATCAGACTATCCATACTGTGACAGAAACCCAGGGGTCAGCTTTTTTTGTTTTAAACACCTGAAGAGCTCATTCAGCCCCACTCAGAGCAGTCACCCCACCGGTGCCCATGATGTCAATGCACAGCAACACAGCACTGCTTTCTAAGAGTTTTCCTGTGCCATTTACTTCAAGACATTATGCAAAAAAAACCCCAGTGACTGGACTGGTAATTCTTGAACCTGAACACAGAAGAGCCCACAACTATCATTCCCCTGTGCACTTTCCCTCTACAAATCACACACTGTACCTATGAGGGACTTCAGAGAGCGCTACCTTGCACTTCCCAGATTGCCAGCCAGGCTGCAAATATTCAAGACAAATAATTACACAACTTAAAAAAAAAAAAAAAAAAAAAAAATTAAAAAATCCTGGTCTCTCAGACTCATCTTTGTATTCTCCAGAGGTATTCTCAGCAGAACCTCTGTGGTCAGAGCTTGGGGGCAGCACACAGGAGAGGAGATAGCTGCTCCCTGCTCCAACTGCTGCCTACTAAGGAAACCAAGCAAAAAGGGTTTGATAATAAATGGGTGGCAGATATGTGGCACCAAGGTGCCAGGTTTATGATTGACTTTCTGAACATTTTAAAATACATTGTGAAATTGATTTGTCATCAGGACAAGAGCCTGAGCTTGTCAGGTCTGCCAGTCTCAGTTTTCAGCTGAGTTATCAGATTCACGAGGGCTCCATTCCCTGTGTTCTATTTAAGACAAATAAAGCTCAAAATTCATCCCATAGTTTTTCCAGGCTTTTTAGTGGGACTGCAAGACACATGGGAAAGGAGCTCTGAAGAGCCATTTACTAATGCCTTCCCTGTTAGCTTGCATGCACCTGCAAAAACAAAAAACCTAATATAATATACATGATACTTACACAGACTCAAACAATTTACGCTCTCGTAACACCGTTATCTATTCTTCTTGAAATTTTGGGGTGCACTGTTGGTTCACACCACCTGTCTGAACTAAAGTTCTCCAGAATTCAGGTGGTAGAGTGCTGTTGCACTTGCATACAGCTCTCTCAACATGTACAAAATCCTGTGTACCTCTGCTGCTGCAGTCCTATATGTGGATATGCAAACAGAGCTTGAACGCACACCAGGGCTGACTGATTTGCATGACTGTGTGCACTTCTAAAAATGCAGTGCAGTGGTACCAAAGCTGAGCTTTCCAGCAGCTGTACTCAAGACGTGCTGCTGCTGAGGGATGGCCTGCATCTGACCAGGGTGAATGGAAATGGGCAAAGCTCCCAACTCGTTTGTGCAAAAGGCACCTTGCATATACCAAGAAATTCCAGTCATAAGAAAACATGGAAGAGCTTAACAGAGAATGTCCCTGGCTATGACTGAGAATGCAAGCAAGGCACAGGAACTCAGTCATCTGTGCACAGACTTTTCCTTGTGACCTGGGAGGAGAAACGGAGAAAATTTGGAGCTCGCTGACTGACGCCAGCAGTGTATGTAGAAAGTGGAGTGGCTTCTCTTCCACCAAATGCTGGGCTCCTGCTGATGTTTTTTGAGAGGAGAAGGGGATACTCACAGGAAAAGGGGGTCACATTTGAAGGCTGTGGTCCAGCTCCCACTCTGCCGGGCTGGCTACAAAGCTCATCTCTCCCCGCTTCTCCCACAAAAGCAACACAGAGCATTGTAAACACAGGAATCAGCACAGCTAGGGCAGTCCCTGGGAGCCACCACATCACCAGGGAGGACAGCCTAGCTCTGGGGGTGCACAGGTTGTCCCCCAGCACAAGTTGACAGCTATTCCCCTGGGGAACCATGCTTGAAAGTTTATATTATGCCACCGTTATGTAACAGCCTCAAAATGCAGCTGGAAAAGAGTGTGTACATCTAAAGACATACCTGAATATCCAGATCACCCACAAGGATTGCTAATGAGCACTACCTTAAATGAACCGTGTGCTGTCCAGGTTCATAAACATGTGTATCTAAAATCTGTATGTAAAATATGTCTGCTTGGCAAGGGAAACAGTCATATAAAGACAGCTGTAAATAGTGCGAGAAAACCAACAGGGAAAAGACAAATGCATTTTGTAACTAATTCTTCTGCACTAATCACTTAGGATAATGCCCTTTATTGTGGGAAGATTTCCCTTATCATGCTCTGAGAAATTTCATATCCAGCTCCATCTTCCTTGCAGCACACTTTGTGCAGTGTGATGCTTCAGATTTAGACCTCCTCTTGCACAATACCTGTTTTGTAGCACAAAGTCAAACCACAACATAGTGCAATCTGAATGCAGCGAGGCGTCACTATTTTCATACCATCCCCGTCGTGACCAGGGAATTAATGCTTGATTGGCTTACGCCGAGGTGGCGTGCACTTAGTAATGCTCATGTCATGCACTGTCACATCATGCACTGTCAAAACACATCAACATAGCCTTCATGCTAAATGCCAGCTTGCCTGTAAAGGAAGCCCACGCAGAAGGAATTTACAGACACAGGCTCTCTTCCATAACCAACAGCTATTTTTGTAACAGTCCATATAATTTATCAATAGCTAGCACAATCATCTTTCCAAACGGTATCTAATTATTTGGATCACATAACAGACTCCCTTGTAAACGTGGGGATACAGAGGAACTGGCCAAATACTGGCTACTCGTTTCATTTTTAAATTGATATACCAAAGTGATCACTGTATCTACAGAAGAGAGCAACTACTTTGATGATCAAACCCACAATAATATTTAACAGTTAAATACAACACTAGTGCTAGCAGAATGCATTTAAAAGCACATTTAATGCATTTAAAAGCATTTCTCTACAATTGCATTCAGCGACAAACCACTGGAAGGACAAACATGCTATGCTACTACACTTTCACACATGAACATTAACAGAAGCCATGCAGAACAATACCTTCAACTTTGACAAGTGTCCCAGTTCCTTAGCAGCACTGAAAATCAACTGTGTGCCCTATGATTGCAAGGATTTAGAAAAGAAAGGAAGGGGGAAAAAAAGATTATGAACAAGTTTTGTATGTTTTTCCTTTGAGCAAGTCGGTTCACAGCCAGAACTTTACATAACTGCCCCAAGGGGAGTCACAACAACTTGACTCTTGCCAGTTTATTACCTAGTATAAAACCTGGCATTTCCGTGGATACCACATCAAGAGCTATTTTGGAGCACAACATTCTGCTAACTGGTTCACCCTTGCTTACAGCAGCCGCCCATTTAAACAGGATGTGCCTTCAAATGGGTTGCAGAGGCTGGGGGTGAAGGGAGCACCCTGGCTTTGTCTCCAAGTGCTCTTTAGATTTCAAGCCTAAGTGCACATGAAGACAGCATAAGACTGGCCAAAGCAAAAGATCACACAGCTGATGACAATCTCTCTGTGGAAGTAGAGACCGGTCAGGGGGGTAGGGGAAAGCATACACCAG